TGAGGGGTGCTAATTTAAACAAAAATTTGGGGGAGAGCCCCCCAGACCCCCCCTCCCTTCCGCGTGCTCCTAACACCCCACTTTCGAAAATCCTGCGTACGCCACTGCATGTGCGCGACCAAAGGTCTCCTGCGATGCTTTAGACAAAATTTGATACAACTGGGAACTTTAATTAATTATGATTGGCTTGTATGGTTATTAAAGTTATTAATGGGCATGTGCTCTCTAAATTAAAGGCATCATTGCAACGAATTGCCATTTTAATGATTTAATAAAGGCCGAACAAAGCTGCATCAGACATACGTGCTCTGGCTGCATGTTATGTCAAACTGCATGCAGTGCCCCTTCGCTCACTCAGGATAATAGTAGAATTGAGCCAGAGCCAGAGCGCCATCTGTCGTGGAGTTTGATGTTATGTAGGACACATCTCGCCACCTAGTGGTCGAAATGGAGAAGGAATTAAGAGAGATGGGAAAGCAGGGAAAAGGGAGGGACAGAAAGAAAGAAGGCAAAGCAGAGGGAAAATGGAGAAGCAAAGAGAGAGAGAGAGAGAGAGCCCGCGGGGGAGGGGGGTGGAGAAGAGGGAGCGTGTGGCGCCGGGGGGGGGGCAGGAGCAAGAAAGGCTGAATGTAATGGAGAGGCGGAATGAGGGGTGGTCCCCGGGTGGATAATGTACAGGACGAGGGAAAGATGAAGGCGGTGAATGAGTAGCGACACGGCAGGTTAAATTTGATAAAATACCGAACAGAATCAAATCACAAGACATTTCGCACTATTTGTCACAGTTTTATTTACGAAAACGCCAAACTACATTCATAACAACACGCGACAACTCATTTCATGTAAACTGTGTAAATTGTAAATATTACAGAATTTATCGTGAACATCTGGCACACTTTCGTGGTCAACACTGAAACAAACTACGCCAACTTTACGTCTTTGATAGCGTGCATCAGTAAATTATTTCAATTGACTGATATTGAAAACAACTCCGTGTGTTCGCACGCGCATCTCTCACAGGCGCGTTCTTTTATGATGTGAACAAATACACTGAAATAATGCGGGCCTTTTTTACGAAATAATGCACACGAGTGGCAACAATCAGTCGCCTATAATATATTACAGGCTGTGTCGGTAAAATTAGAAATGACGCACAAATCCACCTAACTGTTCACACACCGAAACAAAGACATGTGTTTACATATCATAAGAGTCATCTAGCTTCTACGTAACTTCAAACATCACGCGTGATCAAATGACTAGACCCAGCTGTTTCAGTAGGCCTATAGATCTAGCTAGACACTAATTTTCACCAATGTATAATGACGTAGTTATATAAATATCGTTGCTATTATTATCAAAAGCAATAATAATAATAACAATAATAATAACCACACTGATCAAATCAACATAAAAACTTACCTGTAGCTATTCGGACTACAAAGTGTAAGTGTATAGTCAGTCAGTGTATCTCAAATGACATTACACATCTCTACATGGTCCTACATTCTGTATTTGTAAATAAAAGTCTCACAACGACAAAACTCGCGCGACATCTGTTCGTTATCAACACACTCGACAATATTAAAATAAATCTAATAAGCCTAGTAATAAATACGCGTGACCTGTAGTACTGATATTCACAAGCACGCAATAGTTGTCGCAAAATGCTCCCTATTATATTGCAACTTCGCTCGCTATATATTTACAATGCGGAATGTTTGTATGTGGAAAGTGGACACGGAGCCCACTACAGAATCTTCAACAGTTACAACAGCTTTAAACATCTGACAAGTTAAACTAACACCAGCCTTTCTTTGAAAGGAAGCAAGGTTAAGTGCAGGTACAGCTCTGCTGTCCTGACCGACTGATAGCAAGCCCTGAAAACGCAGGTCCGTAGTTTTTCGAAGAATCGGGACATCTCTTTAATATGATAATATCTGCGTGAAAATGCCCAGAGTCAAATTTACTGAAGACTGATGTCAACCTGTTGAACCGCGACGTTTACCAGTTTAAAAAGCTTTAACGTGTTTATCAACAGCATACAGAGTATAAAGACAGCATAATCCATCAGCGTATATAATCCATTTCGTTATTCCTCTTAGTGACGTGTCTTCAGTGAATAGGTGCTATATCTTATATCAAACCAAGACATTTGATCAACGCGATCCGATATAATAGATCTGTACAACGTGGATCCGAGCCCATGAGATGCGATGTCATCAGGAGTGTATAATATAGAGATATATATATCTCCATATATCTCTATATTATACACTCCTGATGTAATCACATATCGCATGAGTTTCCGATCGCTCATCAGACAAGACTAAGGAAAGCCAGGTGTGATATGTTTTACATCTCAACCCCCCATCCATCACAACTGCCTCTGCAACACACAGGCGTGCGTAAATACACGTTCATTTCACTCAAAAAGCTACATGTCAAAAATGCTATACAGCGATGCTACACGCAAACATACGTACGATTTCACGGGCTAGTCAGTATAAGTACCATGATCATGACAGACACAATATAGGAAATGACATGTCGAACTGCAACGCCCGAGATAACACCCGAGTCATCACTTGCTGAATTAGATGAGCATACTTATGGTCAGGTTAACGCGGTAAACCGATTAAGTGACTGATGAAATAAGCATATGGTATTTTTCCATATCTAACACCGGGGTGAAACGATCTTGGTAAATGCAGCAACTACCAGCAACATCGGCATTGCCGCCATTTTTCGAATGTGTGTGGTGCAAGGTGTCATTTTCCCGGTGCGTCTCGGGGCACATTCGATTACAATCAGACGACCGGAACCTGTCGTATAACACGACCCACACAAGTTACGCGAAATGTACGCCAATGAAGAAAAGGAAGCCGTGGTCTGGGGTAACCTTGCCAGGAAATTCCACGTGCGAATGGCATGGCAATATGGCGGCTCAGTAGCTCAACCTTCTGCTGTCACTCAGCGTTGGTCAGTCCGAATCTATACATGGATTTAGATTTTACCACAAGACAACATTATACATCTCCTAAGACGGGACACGTTTCCGAATACGCGCACACGATTTGAGCATTCCATCTACTTTCAAATGAAATCATGATTTCGCGTTCGGCAGTGACTGGCTATGATATCACGGGCGCGTAGCCTTAATTCTGATGGAAACGCACGTAAAACACCGTATTTACAGTTTACTCCCATATCAGAAACCATGTGCCACTACTGTCGAATCACTTCAACTGTGCTGGTGAGATGCAAATAAAAGTCGAAAGTTGCTTTTCACGGGTATTGGTGAATCGAGACAGCATAGAGAATGACCTGTCCTCTCATTATCGCATATGAAAATGGACATCAATGAACTCCTTGCGATTGGCATCGTCAAGGGAGCTCAAAGTTGGTCGGTCGCGACGTTCTTTAGTTCACTTGACATGAAGTTCGGTTGATTTGTTTTCCATTGTAAGAGTGCACTCATAGTAGATGGTCAAAATCGGTCGCCGTGTCAGCTCGTAATGCCTCTTACACCATTCCCAGGTATTAAAAGATGCAAATCAGTATTGAGCTGATATAGTCTCGATTGGCTATCGATGAAGGGGTCGGGGTGTGCGGGGCTCAAGTACACAGAGGAAATTTCCATACAAGCAGTGTCACGGTGACCAATTAAAGAAACACACCCTGAGGTTCTTACCAGTTGCTTAAAGATTGAGCACTTGTGTATCTCTGCTACTGTAAACCTAATTACTTTTTCAGTCAGCATCGTTGCAAGTGATTTGAGCCCGTTAGGAATGATGACAACCACTGTCAATGGAATTTAACAAGTCTGTCTGCGCGGCTTTCCAAACATGTTAGCAGATGATGTACTAGTTAAAAAATATTACGAATTCACAGATTTCGTGTGTTATATAAATCGACGTGTGGGAGGTCATAACAACGGCACGCGGGCAAGTGTAAGAAGACACACATTTTCTGTTGCATTGGATATTTAAAAAATAGCTAGGTTTACAGTGTGACTAGACGACACTCAGCCAGCGCACTGGTCCACATTCCAACCGATGGATGCATCTTTCAACACCATCACTCTCAGGTCTGATCCCAGTATGATACTAGAGATGCAACCACTGAATCCCTGGTTGTATCGCCTAAGCGTTGATGCCTCCACGTTGTAAGAGCCACCTGGCGTAGAAAAAATTAAAATATGGCATGTCATCAATATGGATGTTATTTAAGATAACATTCCATACGTATGCAGTGGACGCCAATGCCGATAACACCGTAGTATTGCCGGGGAGGATTTTAACACGATATTTACCAACGTAATTATTTTGTATATGAAACAAAATTTTAAACACGAATGTTTTCAGAATATTATTATCTCCGGCTATGCTGCTACTGCTACTAACTCTCCGGTCGTATTCAAGGAGAGATCGTGGGTGTGTTGACACGCAGACTCACCGACATACAGCCCAGTGTTGATATCAAGCTGTTGGAGTCTACCGGGGGACTCTGCAGAAGCTATTCTGCCCATGTCCACTACTAGTGAGCCTTCCTGCGAAGTCCTGCAATAAACGTTAACAGCTGCTGTAAGACTAATGATGAATGAAAAACATGACTACTTGGAAATAATAAAACATTTTTTGTTGACTGATTAATTGGCTGAACGACAGGGATGATAAGTGTACTGGTTACTTAGAGTCCCGAGATCAAGTATGGTCTCTTTCTCACACACGCACGCACGCACAGACGTACGCACGCACGCACGCACGCACGCACGCACGCACGCACACACACACACACATTCTCTTCTCTCTTTATCCTGCTCTCTCGTACTCTCTCGCACTCTCCATTTCTCTCTCCTACCCCACCTGACCCCCCGTGCCTCCATCCCCGCCCTCTCGTCTCTCTCTCACTCGCTCTTTCGGCTCTCTCTCTCTCTCTCTCTCAGTATCTCTAACCCTTTCTCTCTCCCTCTCTCTCGCGCGCGCTCTCTCTCTATCTCTATCTCTATCTATCTATCTTTACCCCTCTTCACCTCCTCTCTCCTTCGCCCCCTCTTTCTTTAGAATGGAAAATGATAAATGAATATGATTCGTAACATGATTCGTCGTTAAAGACGATACGCGTGTCTACGCTAGTTTTTAGCTGTATCTACCATCATCCACCTTCAACTATATCTTATACACCCGTCGCCATTAGCAACATATACTACACAAATGTCATACATCTAGCATTCCACGGTCGCAGTTCTCAGAGAGCCAGCTGTGTTTGTGTAAAGCAAAGGGCTGAACGTGGATGAATGTAGCCATAAGACATATTACGTCCGGTCAAGTCCTGCACGTTTTCTAAGAGACGGGTTGGGCGGGTATTTTCGGAGCTTGGGATTGGACCACTTTAATTATCTGGGAACCGGAAAATACCAGATAAGTTTTCGCGATTCGTGAATTAAAGTCAACTGGGACGCGGAAAAGCCGAAATTGCGATTTTGATCAACCGGGGACTATAGGAAATGACATATTCCTACCCGGGAAACTAGGAATGGACCCCCTTCCTCGTTCCTAACAAAAGCCAAGCTATTGAGAGTTCAATTTATAGAACGCTGACAAAGCGAAAGCATCCATAGCAGAATTTAGATTTACACACTACGTCACTTTTTACCTACTATAGTTTATCTTCATTATAGGCAATTATCTGAGACCCCAGGCTAGTGGTGGGTGAGCTTTGAAGCCGAGGTGTAGCTGATTACTAACTGCTTACTGCACTTCTTTTTACCACTGACGAAGATCACAAAAACACACAAATCGTAGAAAAATGAACTCGACTCATGAATTGCTAATAAGATAGTACTTTCTAAACAAACATATCGATCTCGTCTGCGGGGAACATGTTACATACACGCACGCACGCACGCGCGCACGCACACACGCACACACACACACACACACACACACACACACACACACACACACACCTACATACAGCACGGTACTAACGTGCAGTTTTAATTGACAGCGTGCATGCTGCAGTGCCGCTTTGAAATCTCAAGCCGAAATCGATCGCCTGCTCTCTTGATCTTCGGCAAACGAACCTTGAACCTCACTCTATTTCATTCGCTATATAGTCAGTCATACACGCGAGAAGGCGAACACGTGTGAATACGTGAGCGTACCTGATCGCCTTCACTGTATGCCAGGCGCCGTCGCCGACCCACGTGCTGTTGTCGCGTATGATGGCCACGCCACTGCCAAGGTTGTATCCGAACTCCAAGTGTCCGTCCATGATGCCGATAAAGAGGAAGTCGCTGTTCGCGAACATCTTCTCCTGTTCAGACGTGAGGCATCGTAATGACTATAGGTTCATTATCGTTGAGCAATGATGTATTATGTACGGTGCGGGTGTCGTACTGCAGTGTGAGGCAGTGATGTATTATGTACGGGGTGGGTGTCGTACTGCAGTGTGAGGCAGTGATGTATTATGTACGGGGCGGGTGTCGTACTGCAGTGTGAGGCAGTGATGTATTATGTACGGGGCGGGTGTCGTACTGCAGTGTGAGGCAGTGATGTATTATTTACGCCAAATCTTTCAGAATAACATACTTACCGCGCGTCCGTCAACGTCTCTCCGCACGTTCCTCTAACGAGACCCCGCTTTCTCGGGCGCCCGGTATTCCTCTCCGGCGCGCCCTCTCCTCTGCTCTGCACTTGTGACATCTAATATCTGGACCCCGAAAATACCCAGATAAGTTTTCGCGATCTCGTGACATTCACAACGCTCCAACTCCCGGACCGCCCGCAACAACCGCCGAACATTGCCATTCCTTGATCCCAAACCCGGCCCGCGCGACTTAGGAAATGACATATCCTACCCGGCTACAACTAGTGAATGGAACCCCTTCCTTCGTTCCTAACAAAAGCCAAGCTATGAGCAGTTCAACTTTATAGAACGCTGGACAAAGCGAAAGCATCCATAGCCAGAATTACACTTTACACACTACGTCACTTTATCCCTACTATAGTTTCTATCTTCATATATGCAATTTATCTGAGACCCCAGGCTCGTGGTGGCTCGCCACGCTTTGAACTCCGAGCTGTATCTACGATACCTAACTCCTGCCTTATCCTCGGCGGATCCTGTTTCTTTAGCACGCTGCCGAAGACTCACGAAAAACACAGGCCCTGCAGAACAGGGATCGTAGAAAGATGAACCGACTACCAGAATTGGCCCTAATCGAAGGATAGTACTTTCTAAATCAAACATAATCGATCTCGTCGCTGCGGGGAACATGTTGAGCCGCACGTACCACCACGCCTCGCACGCATGCGCACCGCCCACACGCACCACACCGGGGCCGGCCGCCACCGGGCGCCGCGAGCGCCCGGCCGCCGGGCACAGCCACACGGCGCGCGGCACCACACAGCCAACCGACACCGATACCCCACACAGCACGCAGCTCACGCCGCGCACAGCACCGCGGCTGGCCGTCTGCCCGACACACATCACGCGACCAGCACGCCCGGCACCGCTGCCGCCTCGCCACCAGCACCAACGCAGCGGTGGCGGCGCGGAGGGGCACACAACCGACCGCCTACCAGTCAGCGGCGAGGCAGGGCGGGTGAGCTCGCCACGGTGCAGTTGTCTGTAGAGATGACAGGCGTGCATGCCCTGCATGTGGGCCGCTATTTGGAAAATCTCAGAGCCGAACCGCGATCGCAAGCTGCTCTCGTTGATCTGGCAAAGACCGAACTCAGAACCTTCACTGCTATTTCATTCGCTTATATGAGGTCAGTCTATAGCACAGCCGAGAAGCGAACACTTTAATAGCGTGAACGTACCGTGATCGCGCCTTCACCTGCTATCCAGGGCCCGGCCGCCGACCCCACGTCGTTCGTTCGCGTATGATGGCCACGGCCAGCGCCAAGGTTGTATCCGCGAACTCCAAGTGTCCGTCACATCTGATGCCGACTAAAGAGAAGTCGCTGATTCGCGAACGATCTTCTCGCTGTTCCAGACCGCTGAGCGCTCGTTAATGACTATAGCTTCATTATCGTGAGGCATGATTATATGTCACCGGTGCGGGGTCGGTGGAGCGAGGGGACCCCACACGTGAATGTATTATCGCCTACGGGTGGGCATGGTCGTACGCGGACACCCCTGCTTATGGCAGCTGCATGTATTAGTGTCGTGGCAGCTGTCGACTGCAGTGTGAGGCCTGGAAGTTATTACTTACGCGGGAGCGGGTGTCGTACTCGCAGTGTCGAGGCACGCGCAGCGCGCGCACGCAGCACCGCGCCCAGGTGATGATGGCCGGTATTATGTAGCGGTGGGTGTCGTACTGCTAGTGTGAGGCATGATGTATTATGTACGGGGTGTGTCGTACTATGAGTGTGAGTTCAGTGAAGTATTACGTTAGCGCGGCGGGTGTCGTAGACTGCAGTGTGAGCACGTGCGATGTATATGCACGGCGGCGGTGTCGGTACTGCTACGTGTGAGCAGTGATGTATTATGTAACGCGGGGGTGTCGTACGTCAGTGTGAGGGGCGAAGTGATGGTATTAATGTACGGCGGGTGTCCCGTACTGGGCATTGTGAGCAGGTTAATTATATGTTACGGGCGGGTTCGTACTGCATGTGAGGCACATGGATGTATCTAGCACGGGGCGGGTGTCGTACTCGGCAGCTGGTGATGCAGTGAATTAACTTATGTACGGGGCGGGTGTCGTACTGCAGTGTGAGGCAGGACTGATATTATTTACGGGCCGGGTGTCGGTTACTGGTGCCAGTGGAGGCAGTGATGTAGACTCCCGCGTTGGTGGCGCCTGTTGAGTACCGGTGGGTGTCGACTGCAGTGTGAGGTCAGTGACGTATTATGGTACGGGGCGGGTGTTCGTACTGCATGTGTGAGGCCAAGTGTTATTATTACGGCCGGCGTGTGCGTAAACTGCTAGTGTGATGCAGTGATGGTATTATGTACGGGGGCGGTGTTGTCGTGACTGCCACGTGGTGAGGGCGCCAGTGATGGTATTATACTGGGGCGCGGTGTTCGGTACTGCAGTTGTGAGGGGCGAGTGATGCTATTATGTACGGGTGGGTGTCGTACTGCAGTGTGAGGTTGCATGTGATGTAATTTATCCTAGGGGCGGTGTCTGTCTGCCCGTGTGAGGCAAGTGATGACCCCACACAAAATATCGGGGGCGTGAAAACTGCAGTGTGAGCGGAATGAGTAGTTATGTACGGGGTCGGGTGTCGTACTGGCCGTGTGGAGGCACTGATGTCATTTACAGTAATAATCCCGCGTAAATAAGCAACTATAGATTTTCAAGTAAATGTTTTAGGTAAAAATTCCCATAAATTAATAAATAAGAAACCTGTTTTTTTAGGCTAAGATTTTAAAGTAGGGTTCTTAGATTTTTAATAGCATATGAAGACTTAAAAAGAACACGGCATCTTTTTGGCAATGTTGTTTTGTTCCTGGATACATAGCTGTATCACTACAGTATGGTGAAGCACTGAAATAACTTACACTGGAGCTCCATCATCGGTATTATAATTAGCAAAAATTGCAAGTTCTTACCGATAAGAAAATTCTTAAACCACCTTGATTTGAATCAAGTATTAGCCG